ATTGAACCAGCACTTGGGCTGGACCAGAGCCCAGCTATCTTGACTCCCAGTTGAATTGTCTTTCTGCAAGATGGCAAAGGAAACAGTTTTGGGGCCCCCAAGGTTCATTGTAACATCAAGTTTTGGGTTTTTAGTCAGATTTCATTATTGAGAACAGTTGAGGGTATTAAAATCAGTTTGGTGTGGGTGCTGATCAATTTTACTTCCTTTTCCAATCTGGATATCTTTTCTTTTTCTTGTCTTATTGCTCCGGCTAGGACTTCTAATACAATATTGAATAGAAGTAGTAAGAGTGGCCACCCTTGTTTTTTTCCTGATTTCAAGGGGAAAGCTCTCAGTCTTTCCCCATTAAGTATAATTTTGACTGTTGGCTTTTCATATATGCCCTGAATCATATTGAAGAATTTCCCTTCTTTTCCAATCTTCTTAAGGGTTTTCATCAAGAAAGGGTGTTGGATTTTATCAAATGCTTTTTCTGCATCCATAGAGATGATCATGTGGTTCTTTTCCTTTGTTCCACTGACATAGTGTATTATGTTGATTAATTTTCTAATGTTGAACCATCCCTGTGTTATGTAATAAATCCCACTTGTTCATGGTGTAATGACTCTTTTATATGCTGTTGGATTCTATTCACTAGCATTTTGAGGATTTTTGCATCTATATTCATAAGGAGATAATTGGCCTGTAGTTTTCTTTTCTTGTGGTGTTTTAGTCTGGTTTACGTATCAGGGTTATGCTTGCTTCATAGAATGAATTAGGGAGTATTCCTTCCTTCTCTATCTTTTGAAAGAGTATTTGTGTCAATTCTTCCCCAAATATTTAGTAGAATTCCCCAGTAAAGCCTTCTGTTTTTGTTTTTTTAATTTTTCCCATACAAAAATTTATACATACTGTCTTAGTCATTTAGTGCTGCTCTGGCAGAAATACCACAAGTGGATGGCTTTAACAAAGGGAAGTTTATTTTCTCACAATCCAGTAGGCTACAAGCCCAAATTCAGGGCATCAGCTCCAGGGAAACACTTTCTCCCTCGGCTCTGAAGGAAAGTAGGTGTCATCAATCTTCCTTTGGTTTTGGAGCTTCTCTGTGCAGGAACCTCAAGTCCAAATGACATGCTCTGCTCCCAGCCCTGCTTTATTGGTGGTATGAGGTTCCCGCCTTCTGCTTGCTTCCCTTTCCTTTTATCTCTTGAGAGAGAAAAGGTGGTGCAGGCCACACCCTAGGGAAACTCCCTTTACATTGGATCAGGGATGTGACCTGGTGTTACAATCCCACCCTAATCCTCTTTAAAGTAAAATTACAATCACAAAATAGAGGACAACCACACAACACTGGGAATCATGGCCTAGCCAAAGTGATACACACATTTTTGGGGGGACACAATTCAATCCATGACACATACATTGTTATGTGACTCTAATTGCTCTCCCCATACTGTGACAGCACACTCCTTTCCACCCATGATTCCCCATGTCCATTCAACCAGCTGCTAACCCTCTCTGCCTTCCCATCTTACCTCCGGACAGAAGCTGCCCATTTAGTCTCTTGTATCTACTTGAGCTAAGAGGCACACTCCTCACGAGTATCACTTTATGTCCCACAGTCCAGT